CATATTCATTCTCCAGGGACAGGGACAGGGGTCCACTCAACATTCTTCTTTCATCTAAAAAATTTCCTTCTCCATGTCTTCTGGGGGTAAATATGTCTTGGCTCCTATTCTCCTGAAGAGGGAAACCCCTGCATTTTGCTGTTAGATTTGAAAGATACATTTGCTTCATACAGAACTTAAGTGGGCATTTTCCCCTCTTACAGTCTCAGCCTCCTGAAGACTCTTTTGCCTTTTGGATTCCTGTGGTTTCCAGGTGGACTAATGGTTCTGCTAATGTTATCTTTCATGTCTCAGTATTTTGTGAGGTCCTGCCTCCTTTTGCTTTCTTTCATATTTATAGTGTATTTTAAACATTTGAAGTCAGCTGAGCATGTTTGTGTTTAAGCTTCTTGCATTTATAAGTTTTCATAAAAATTAGGAAAGTCTGTAAATTGGCCCACGGCTGCTCATCTGTCCACTTGATCTGGTCTCAAGGACTAGCCATTTTCTCAGTCTTTATCTTTGCTTCAGTTTGGATAATTTTTGAAGCTTTATTTGTTGTATCTTAGATTCCATTGGCCTATGGTTTTGCCTCTGTGCTAATATTAGTAAAAATTTTAACATTCATTTAATTTTTGGTTCTAATAGTCCTGCCTAATTCTTTTAGAAATCTTTTATTCCCCTTGTATTCATGTTCCATGTTTACCACTGAATTCTTAAGCATGGTAATGCATTTAGAAATGTTTAAATTTATTTTGTCTAATCTATTTCTTTTCATGTTCATGTCTGTGAAACCCCATTTCCCCACGTCTTGCACAACACCGTGCTGTGTCTTGACCAAGATAGTATTTCCTGACCAGCTAATGAATGTGGTGAGGGTTGCGTATCTGGAATTTGTAGTCTTCCTTTTTAGGGTTACCTTTTGCTCTGCTGGGCAGTTATATATGGGTAAGTCTGGGTACAGGATCCCATCTCACTCAAAAATATTCGTTATTCATGGTTAACTATGGTCTGCAAAATACTTGTATTTGTCCTAACTCTTTCAAGAGGGAATGATCACAGCCATAGCATTTGTTTTACAACATACTGTTGTGCTCTATGTTATTATTAGTTGTAGTTGTTAATCTCTCTCGAATTTGTAAGTTAAGCTCATCATGAATGTGTGCACACAGAAAAGCAGAGACTTTGCATTCCTGAGTCCTAAGTGCTAGCCCAGATGCCCTTTGGGGGTCTTGCAATGCCTCTCCAATGGGAAGGGAGCTGGTGAGTGGCAAACTGCTTGGAAAGCTTCCGTCGCCTAGTCTTGGAGAGTTACTTATTCTGGAGAGTTAGGGGTACCTTACTGCTATCCCTTGATTCCTCTATTGTCAGCTAAATGCCCCATGTGATCAACAAGGACAGTGCGTGCTGCTGGTAGGTGAGTGTGGGGGACCGTGGAACTTACAGCTCGTCTGACCTCTATAGACTGGCCGCTTTGAGAAGACAGAGAAGGGTGTGACTGGGAACTGCACGCTGTGTACGAACAGCTCCGCAGTCCTGGAGCAGTCAGCGAGCCGGAGAGGATGGAGTTCTGGCCTGTTTGTCACTCTTTGGAGCTCTTCCCTGCTACAGCAGCCAAACAAGGCTTCTGAATTCTTGTTCTTTTCCTCAACATAGGAAGTTTTGGAATTGCTCAGGCTCGCCTTCCTGGTTTGCAGCAGCACAGTGTGGAAACTTCTAGGCAGTCTGTGGAGCAGCCTGATAGATCAAGTTTACTTCTCATACCTTGAAAAAATAAGCCATGGTTTCTATTATTGTTCAATTTCTGGAAAGGAACTCTGACTGTTTTGTCCTATCTCCTGGTTGTTTATCAAACTTTCCCATAGTTCTCTGTATTTTTAAAAACACAATTCCTCGTATCCCACTTCACATGTCACTTTTGAAACAACTACTAGCTGACCAGTTGCTTTGCTCACATTGATCGAACAGTTGTCAATATTTTAGAAAACAATCATTATTCCACTTTCAAGTTAGAAATTCCTTATGTAACCAAGCATTTTACTACACCATATACAGTTACTGTTTATTTTATACATCAACATAAAACTGCATTTCAGTGTTGAATTTTCATTTTAAGTGGCAGTGTTATTTATATTACACTTTATTTACTGTATCAACCCAAATCATCATCAATCTAGAGGAGATGTTATCCTATCATTCTCCTATAATTGAAGCATAGCTCCCAATATCTAAATAAGCTATGCACCTAAGTGCAACAATTTAAACACAGATATATTTTCAAGATCTTTACATATTATTTAAGATACCAGTTTATCACAAAATGAAAACAGTGATGAGCTGTAAACTTCATAAAATTTAGAAGGCCACAGCCTGGCGAGTGCAAGTTCCATGTTTATTTTGCAGAATGGCAGAACATTCCTTTATCCTTTAGATGAAGTCAAGCCATGACCTGTTGTTCAGTGTCAGAAGCCCACATATTTTGGTCTGGAGCATGGTTTCTTCTAGAAGACTCCGGGTTTAATCAGTTGTCCACTGGGTAGAAGCAGAACACACAATTAAAAAGGGAAGGCAGTTGAAATTTATGTAAGGAGAAAATTGATGTAAACTATCAATTCTCTCACTCTCAAGAGTGGGGCCTCTTTATGCAATCAGTATTGCATACAGCGGTCCTTAATAGCAACAAGGACATTCCTCAGTGTGTAAATCAGTTACTACATGATATCTAGAAAACTACATAGTTTTCATTGATAAACATGGGTTGGACCAGGAGATGGCCCAGCAGATAGCCTGACATCTTGGGTTTGATCCCTGTAACACACATAAGGGAAGAAGAGGATACTTCTGCAAGGTCATGTCTTCTGCCTTCCGTGTGTGTGTGTGTGTGTGTGTGTGTGTGTGTGTGTGTGTGTGTGTGTGTGTGTGTACACACACACCTTGGTACATACATGCTTATCCAAATGCATATACTCTGTGATCAATCAATGTAATTTTCACATTTAAAACTGCATTATCAAGGAATAAAGTATGTGGTGGAACCTTGAATGCATATTACTAAGTGAAAAGAGCCACCCTTAAAAGCTACATGACAATCTACTAAGGACAAAGTGTACAAATGGTGAAAGATCAGTGATTGCCTGAGTTTTGAGGGAAGAATGGACCAGCTAGATAGAATGCAAGAATATTATATTGTATGTGAAGCACATGAAACTGATAAAATAGCTAAAAATTTATGAATGGAACATAACTATTGCTTGAAGACAGCCAGGGCTCACCAGTCAACAGTAAGCAAAATAGATTTTAAAACACTGGATTTTCAACCTGACAAAAAGTTTGACATTGTAGGAGAATGACAGCTGTCCTCAGATTGATTGTCAAGTGGGAAAGCCATCAGGCCTCTTCTGAGCCACTTTAAGAGACTCTTGTGTGATAGCCTGCATTCTGAAAGCATTTAAATCCTAATAAACATATACCAGGGGCCGGAGACAGCTCAGAGTTTACAGCTCTAGCTCTTAGATTCCCAGTACCCGTTAGGTGGCTCACAACCACCTGTTACTCAAAGGAACATGACAGCTTCTCCTGGCCTCTGTGGGGACCTGGACACAATGGCATCGACTCACACAGACATACACACATAAAAGAGAATATATATAAAATAAGTTGCAATCAGTGTAGAGAATTTTCTAACATTTCAAGTGCTAATTCTAGGCAAAATAAATTATTGTTTGGGAGATTTTGTAACTCATTTTAAAATATTAGAACCCTAAGATTTAAACAAATCAGCTCAGACAAAACAATAAACAGATAATATGGCTTCAGAGATCAAACTCCATGTTCTCATCAGGAGACAGTTGCTGAGTAGACTTAAACAATGAGAATTTGGTGAGAGGAATATTAAGGCTCTCCCCAAAGTGGCATTACAAATTCTTCCAGAGAAAATAAATGATCCGATGCATTAAAAAGGAGGATGCCAACAGCATGTGAGGACTGTGCATCTCTGTGAGAACTCCACACTTACCAGGATTCCTGGATCTGGAACGGGGTTAGGCCTTGCAAACCTCTTTCCCAATTTCTTCTTCTCTTTCCTTAGGTTTTGCATGTAGTGGATACGTTTATTCAAAGACTTGAGGAAAATTGAAAAACAAAACCAAAAAACAAATAGAACCTTTCAGAACATACGAAGCTAACATGTGTTTCATTTTTGGTTTTTGTCAATTAAAAGGTTGAGAGCAATACACAATCTACTTAGCTAATAGAGGTAGGGAAAAAAATCACAAAACAAAACTCAAAACTATTTTCAAATTGACCCACGATGTAGCATCAGGAGGGCTGCCAGAGGGCCTTGTTTACTCTTGATTCCCACATTAATACCATGCATGGTATTAATGCACATTAATTAATTAACATTAATTAATTAAAACATGCATGTTTCTATAAACCCAGATTCATAGTCATGCACTTTCAATTTTATTTTAAAAATAATTTCATTAAAATGTTCAAATGGATAGTCTTATTACATGTTTCATTTCACACATCCCATGTCCATGGAAAAGTGGGTCTACTTTTTATTCTGGCTCCCAAATCTAGTCTTTTATGTCACCATTGTGTGGCATCTGTGAGTACCATAGGCCCCCAAAATGAAAACTGAATGCTTGGAAGAGATGACATGAACTGTAGAGAGAGCTGCTGATGGGAGAGTCAGGGTGATGCTCTGTACACAGGGACAGACCTTCAAATCAGTGAAGTCTGTTTCCCCGTGATCCAAACTGTGGAAGTAATCAGAAGATCCTCCTGTGGGTCGGGGGAGACCTGTACGCAAATGCTCACAGTAGCACTGTTCATTATAGATCAATGTTGAGCCAACCCAGTGTCACAAACAAGAAAAGGGAACAATGAAGTGGGGTTTGTTCCGCAATGAAACATTAAGCAGCAATGAAAATGAAGTAACTACAGTTAGACACAGCATTCACTAAGGAACCGATATCAAGCTTTGTGATGCTCACATTTATAAAATTCAAAGCCAAGCAAATGCCACCAATGCACTTAAAGAGGCACACATGGCAACATATTAAAAGAACATGGCTGGAAAAGATATTTGAAATTATGCTTATGTGTTTAGGAGGAGCAGAGAGCAAAAACAGGGAGGTAGTTTCTGGGGGGATTTGGGGACACTCACAATGTTTCAAATTCTGAAGTGTCAGATCTGTTTTATTACTCTATTTTATGTCTGCTGCACAATATATATACACACATAATAGATGCAACCTATTCAAGACCTTTTATAGTAACCACAGGAACCCAAGGGTCTGAGGGATGCATTGAAGAGGTATCTAATTAATGATCACCATAAATGCAGGGATAAGTTAAAAACAGCTGAAACAAAATTTACCTGCCTGGCAGAAACCTCTGAAGGATGGTGCCTTCGTGGTCCTTCCTACATAATATGTAAAAATACACACAAAGTCAAGATAAAGCTCCAGGAAACTGGAGCAATCGCAGTCATGGCGGCCCAGGGAGCAGTGGGTGTTCTTCATGAGCCTCCCAGCTCTCCCACTCACACAAGTGTCTTTTCAACACTTCTCTTCCCAACTTTAATCCAACTATAACCTTAAACCTTGAAGGTAAATCTCCACTCCACATCTCAATGTTGAGGGCTTGACAGTGCCCCATGCTCCTCATTTCTGCAGCCCCCAAGCCCTCACCCTCTAGGGCGGGTCAGTGCATCAGTCAATGAAGTTGATAGATCAGGCCCAACCCAAGTAAGTACTGTGGGACTTTTTCCTCCTCGGGTGTCTTCCCAGCAGCCTAGGATCTAGTCTGTTCACTCAAGATTTCTAAATCTCAGTCTGTCTTCAAGTTGGAACCTTGGATGGCTGCAGCTGACTGCCTGGGGTGCAAGCCTAGGACAAGGTTGGCCCCGAAGAGTTCAAGACCTCAGAGGACTCACTGGGTAGACTTGGGCAGGCTCCTCGTCCCTCACACGCTCCAGGCACATACTGCAGAGCCCTAGGGTGCCCGAGGCACCTACTGCCTAAAGATGGGGCCACTCTTGTCCCTCAAGTCCTGACCTACCCTACCATCATAATTCTCTTTGTTTTCTCAGCTTGAGCCCCGCCCTTTCCCTAAATCCAGTGCCGAGGAGGCTGAGGCACAGCTTCTGGCTGTCTCCCAAACCTCGGGCTGCTGAAATTCCCTATATACTATACCATGTGCTCCAAAGCCACACAGGTCACCTGCTTGTTTTCTAGGCCAGCCCCTGGTTAGCGCATCTAACCCAGAATCCTTGTCTCTCTCCTCAGTCTCTGTTCTGATTCTAAATTCTCTCTACTCATTCTTTCCCATCTTGATTTCCAGCTGGACCAGCCGGGCACTCGACCTTTGACCCTCGGTGACTTTCAGTGAAAAGTGGGCAGGGATTGGGGGGGGTGAATATGGATGGCTGCAGTAGACTCCGGCTTTCTGCTAAGGTGGGTCCTGAGCCCAGCTCTCCCACTTCATTTTGATGTGCCAGGCATTCTCTGTTGAGGTCCTGTCTCCGCCGGGTTCAGGCCCCGAGACAGGGCTGAGAGTGTGGGCAGGAAGAAAAGCCCGACCACCAGAGACAAGTTTCAGGCAAGTGGCAGCCTCCAATAGCTCAAGCTGTCTCTATACTTCAAAAGCAAACACGTGTTTCCCAACTTTTAAAACAACCTTTAACGAAAACCAATACTCAGTATTTTGCTAGTTTGGCTTAATACGGAGCCAGGCACATCCTGTCCTTATAAAGGAACATGTAGGAACACATTCTCAAGAACAACCAGATTGTTCAAAACTTAACAAAACATATTTACAGAAATGGGATGATTTTTCATAAGTTGGTTTCATACAAATAGCTTGTATTTCTCTAACTGTTCCCTTGTCCTATAAAAGGGTCCTGCAAGCCTAAGCCTCTCTATAAAGAGCAAACTTTGATAAGACACTCTTTTTCCATGGTGCCAAACCATTCTTAATGTTTTTCTTCCCCAGCAGTTGGGACACTTAGATAACATCCCTTGTGTTGCTGCCTCATATGTGCCCGTTAACTTTTATTGCCTTTGATCCTGTCAGCACTGCATCAGAAAAGCTCCCAGGGTCTGGAGTAACAGCTGGTATTTCCAGATAAGAAACCTAAGAAACACCAGTTCCCCCAAAAAATTTAGGGGAAAATATTTGAGAAATAAATGGGGTTTCCGGGAATGATTACATCTGTCCCATGCATGTCTGACAAAGTGAAACTAAAAGCCACCAAGAGAATCACCGACATTATGAGAGAGAAGAGAACACGCAGGCCATGTGGTCCCAGCAGTATTCTGTGTGGTCCTGAGGGCCACTGGTTCTTGCCAAGCGGAAAACCATTGCCATGGTCTTTGCCTCACAGAGACCCACTGGACGAGCATTCTTCTGCTGATGTGAAACTAGGCCACTCAGATCACAACAATTTTTCTTTTGTGCTGTGCAGGATTCTCCCCAAACTGCTCATTCTAGCTTGCTTTTCAGCTGCTGTGATAAACACCAACTGGTGGTTTGAATGAAAGTGGCTCCCATAGGAGGGTGGATATCTGTGCATGCTTGGTTCTCAGTTGATGAACTCTTTCGGGATGCTTAGGGGATGTGTCCTTGAGTAGGCATGTCCTTGTTGGAGGGAGTCTGTCAATGGGCGTCTTAGGGTTTCTAGTCCTGTGATGAAACACCATGACCAAATAGCAAGTTGTCGAGGAGAGGGTTTATTTGGCTTACACTCCTACATTGTAGTCTATCATTGAAAGAAGCCAGGGCAGAAACTCAAGCAGGGCAGGAACCTGGAGGCAGGAGCTGATGCCATGGAGGGGGGCTGCTTACTGGCTTGCTCATCTTGAATTGGTCAGCCTGCTTTCTTATAGAACCTAGGACTGCCATTCCAGGCATAGATAGCATCACCCACAATGGGCTGGGCTCTCCCCCATCAATCACTAATTAAGAAAATGCACTAGAGCTATATCTTACGGAGGCCTTTTCTTAATTGACTCCTTTCAGATGACTCAAGCTTGTGTTAAGTTGACCTAAAACTAACTAGGACACTGTGGGGTGGGCTTTGAGGTTTCAAAAGCCCGCACCAGGTCCACTGTTTCTCTTTCTCTGCCAAATGCCTGTGCATCAGTATGTAAAGCTCTCAGCTACTTCTCTAGCACTATTCTTGCCTGCCTGCTCCCATGCTCTTTGCCACGATGATAATGGACTCACTCTCTGAAACTGTAAGAAAACACCCAATTAAATGCTTTCTTTCTTTTATAAGAGTTGCCTTGCTCATGGTGTCTCTGCACAGCAATAGAACACTAAGACACACCATGACCAAAAGCAACTTGGGGAGGAAAAGGTTATTTCAGCTTATATTTCCACATCACAGCCTATCAACTGAGGGAAATCAGGATTGTAACTCAAGGCAGGAAACTAGAGACAGGAACCAAAGCAGAGACCATGGGGGAATGCTGCCTATTGGCTTGTTCCCTCAACCTTTCCAAGTATGCCACAGCATAATAATTCCTCCTAGACATTACTACAGTGTTGTGGAATATCAGTATAAGATGGGTTACATTCATTTGTGCTGTGGAATATGTGTTTAATGATGCAAAAATGCGTTGCATTATTTTGTGTTGCGTTTGTTTAACTCTGCACAGCTGTATTACTTTGCCTCCCTAAAATACCTGATGGTCTAATAAAGAACTGAACGGCCAATAGCAAGGCAAGAGAAAGGATAGGTAGGCTGGCAGGCAGAGAGAATGAATAGGAGGAGAAATCTCAAAAAAAGGAGGAGGAGGAAAAGAAAAGGAGAGGAAGAGGAAGAAGAGGAGGAAGAGGAGGAAGAAGAAGAAGAGGGAGAGGAAGAAGAGGAGGGCAAGAGCAAGAAAAGGAGACAGAGAGAAAGATTCCAGGGGCCAATCACCCAGCCAGCCATGGAATAAGAAGAAAATAAAGAGATGTAGAATAAAGAAAGACAAAAAAAACCCAGATGTAGGTAAAGAGAAATGGGATAAGTTAAGTTAGAAAAGTTGGCTAGAAACAAACCAAACTAAGGCTGGACATTCCTAAGTAAGAGTAAGTTTCCATGTATTTATTTCTTTGGGAGCTTGGTGGTTCCCCAAAGAGTGAAAAAAAACTCAGCTACACTACAGAGCATGTTACTGTAGGCTGTGTCAAGTTGACAACAGAACCTTAAGCAGCACGTTGTCTTTTCTCTGTCACAGTCTCTGGACCTCCATCTCAGAGCCATTTCTAGCAGGATAGAACTTCATGTTGACAGTGGGAACATGGGAACAGTTCACTGTGCTCAGCAGGGGTAGAATTGGTTGTACTTCTTAACAGATCAGTTCCTTAGACATGTCAAGGGATTAAGTGCCTGGTTAGTGTTGTCTGGGAAGAGACACAGTGGCATGCTTAATACTGTACCTGAGGTTCACAGTGAGCAAGCAGGTGAGAGTCAGTCTCAGAGTGTGTGCTGCCTATTGCTCTGGACCCAAATTGGATCCACCTAACTTTCTTGCCATCTATGAGCTTGTAACCTCGACTGTGTCCAAATCGTCCATTTCCATGTAGTCCCATTGAAGCGGAAAACACTGTTGACCCTCTGTCTCAGGTACATCTCCTCATTTCTGTTTCTATGTCATTTCTGCCCAGGACTTTCCTCAGAGATTACACTGGACAGAAGGCTCATTCTCTTCACCATCATCTCTTTAAACACATAAACCCCCATGCTCAGATCTCATCTTGAAACTAACACTGGATAGAAGACCCCTTTGAGTAACAGTTTTATCATCATTTTCTTCCTCCTCCTCTTCTTTTCTTTTCTTCTTCTTTTCCTCCTCCTCTTTTTTTCATTCTTATTCCTCCTCCTGCTGCTCTTTCTCCCCCTGCCTGCTCTCTCTCTCTCTCTCTCTCTCTCTCTCTCTCTCTCTCTCTCTCTCTCT